CCCCAAAACCCCAAAACCCCAAAACCCCGAGAGGTGGAATTTAAAATACGTAGAAGGTAACAATTGATTTAATATATTTTTAAAATAAATTTTCTGGCTACTTTTTTAAAATATTAACTTATAAATTAGCTACATCATCAATAAATATTGAATTGAAATCACTAATATAACAAATATCAAAGTTTCAAAAGTCTATGTTGAACATGAAGCAAATTATTTTAATAAATTTCTGCTTGTTTATCTCTGTTTATACAATTTCTATTGGAAATCAGGCTATTATACAAAAGTAATTTTCAATTGTGCTTAAGCTATCTAGAGAATTCAAGCTTTTATAGATTAAAGAACCCTCTTTATCTGATTCTAATTAATAAAATGGTGCTGAAGAAATTTAAGCTGAAATCGAAGAGGCAGCAACTGAGGAAGTATTATCTGATAATAACTAAAGTTAATCAGAAGGCTAGTCTGAATAGCAAAATTTGGAAGAAACTATAGATGATTAAATTGAAGATAGAGGTCATCATGAGGATGATTACATTGAAACCGAAACAATTTAAAATGAAGAAGATGCGATTAATGAATCATAGAACAACCCTGAATAAGGTCCACCAACAGAAAATTCTAATTTTGAGTAAAACAATGGTACAGAGTCTACAGCTAATTTTGAAGATATTTTCTAAGAGGTAACTCATGTTATTGAGACTAACCCATCAAGTGATTCTGAAGAAATTATTGAACTTATTACTGATTATGTGGAAGATGTGCGTGAAACATCTGAAAATGAGACTGATTAAGTTTAAAACAATCAGAACTTAACTAATGAAACGGCGATTCTATAAGATGTACATGAAGAAAGACAAGAGCTTCTCGAGGAACATTTGCACCCCGAGCTTCCCCTATCTAATTAAACAGAAAATAATTTCAATAACAACTCTTCTGTTTCAGAAAAATTGAATGGCACGACTAACTATATTTGTAATAAAACATTAGAATGCTCTTAGAATTATTCTCAGGAATTGTTATTGAAGATAGTAGCTATTGAAGAAAGCTTCTAAACAGCTAATCAATAAGTAGCACAAGCTTAAGCAAATCTTGAGTAATTATAAAATCAAGCAAAATTGATCGCTTAAGCATTAGAGGATATAAAATAATAATTAAATTGTAGTCATCAAGCTAATAATTAATCTGAAATTGCTTAAGAAGAAGAAGTTGAAGTAATTATACAGCATGAAGATGAAGCAGCTCGTGAGGAATTAAATGAAGTAGTTAATGATGCCATTGAATAACAGGAATTGATTTCAGAAGTACAAGAAGAACCAGCATAAACAAATATTTAGACTTTAGAGATTTTCGAACAAGGATAAGAAGAATTAATTGAGAATAACTTGATCGAGTTAAGCCATAATTATAACTAAGGATAAATTGGATAAACATAATTAATTCAGAAGAGACTCCAATAGTTTAGCCAAACTAAACAATCTACCATTTGAGGTAGCTCATCAGTTTAGATGAGAGGGAAGTTTGATTTCTGAAATAGTAAGCAAACGAGTAAGATATTTAAGTATTTAAAAGTTGAAATCTCAAATCTCATTCTTATAAATATAAAATAAACTTAAAATCACAAATAATTTAAATTTTGATAGATTAGGTCTAATCTTGACTTGAGGGGTTTTGGGGTTTTGGGGGTTTGGGG